GCACTCCAGCCTGGGTAACAAGAGCGAAACTCCGTCTCAAAAAAAAAAAAAAAATACATTTTAAATTAAAAATATAATTCAGCCATTCTACTTCTAGGTATTGACCCAAAAGAAATAAAAACACATCAATGCAAAAACGTGTACAAGATTGATTATTCATAGCAGCTTTACTTGTAACAGGCTCAAACTAGAAACAACCTAAATACACATCAACAGGTAAACAGACAAATTGTAGTGCATACATCTAATGAAATATTACTCAATGAAAAGAATAACTATTGACACAAGAACATGAATGAATCTCAAAATAACTATGGAGAGTGGTATATGGCAGACCATAAAACTATGTGATGCCATTTATATAAAATTCTAGAAAACACAATCTAATCTATAGTGACAGAAAGTAAATCAGTGGTTGCCTGAAGCGCAGGGGGAAAGCCAGAAAGATTCGAAGAGGGGATGACCATGGAACACAAAGACACTTTGGGCGTGCTGCATGTGGTCACTATCTTGATTGTAGTGATGCTTTCACAGGTGTACAAATGTCTTAAAATTTATAAAATTGTACACTTTAAATATGTGCAATTCATTATGTCAATTACCCTTCAATTAACCTCTTAATTTTTTTTAATACAAAGAGTAATAAATTGAATTAAAAACACATCTAGCCAATGTATAGACTGCTTCATTTTGATTCAGTATTTGTCTTCTGCCTCTGGACAAGGAGATGAAAGCCCTCAACAAAATCTGATACTCTTGTTTGGGAGTACCAAAATATATGATAGGCCTAGCTCTGAGCTCCTCTAAATTTTTCTGTGATTTAAATTGGTATTTTGGGGGGAAAAAAACTGACATCATTTTGATAAAAGACATGAAAGACTGTTTCAAAAAGAATGGTATAAATGAGGACATCATGAAAGTGATACTGACATCTCTGAGCCTGCACATGGGAAACCATGATTGCTGTTGTACCGATTTCACAGGCTGCTGAGGATGGAGAGTGCAGAGGCTGTTCTGTCGCAGGTGGGTGTGTGCACTCGCACTGACTAAGTCGCTGTCTGCCACATTGAATCTAAATAAAGACACTTCCCACAGCTTCTCATTTCCCTACTATATTACAGACTGAAACTCCTTTTGCATCCTATCTAAATGTGGAAGTCTTTTCCCTCCCTACTCTCCTTGTTCCCTCCACCCCATCCCGACCAATTCCATAGATATTTCCAATTATTTCTCCACATGATGCTTTCTGTAATAACATTAACTGCACACACTGGTTTCCATTTATCTGCACTGATTGATTAAAACTGATAGCTGGCTTGGGTTTGCTACAGTAAATACATTAAAACTGTGTTCAATACCTGAAGAGAAAACCTGTGCTCTGCTGTTTCACAAGGAGAAAGAGAGGCATGCTCACCATCTGCTGTTTCCAGCATGCTCCCACTGCATCCCCGAGGAACACTTCTCACAGAAGCCACCTGCGGATGCTCAAAGTATGAATGCTCCACGAGGCCCGTGGTGACATCAGGAGGGGCAGAATGCAGATCTGCTTTTGAAAAACACACCCAAAATGAAGTTGCGATTAAGTCAAAGGAGTATTAAGCTGCTCTTCAAGCCCCATTAGTCTAAAGCTCCATTAGCTGAGCTCTAAGTGGGGAGAACGTGGTATTCTGATTAATTTTGTTTTCTTGGCTGACCAAAGGCATACTGGGAAACTATGAACTCCCAGACATGTTACGCAGAGATCACATGCACATGGGTGGCTCGACTCTCAAAGGGATCCAGACTCAGAACCACCAACTTCAGCACAGAAAAAGGGACAAAGTAAACCTGCTGTCACAATAACCTGATGAGATTTCAGTTAGAAGTTCCCTCAAGGGGCTGGGCACGATGGCTCATGCCTGTAATCCCAGCACTTGGGGAGGCCAAGGTAGGCAGATTACCTGAGGTCAGGAGTTCAAGACCAGGCTGGCCAACTTGGCAAAACCCTGTCTCTACTAAAAATACAAAAATTACCTGGGCGTGGTGGCACATGCCTGTAATCCCAGCTACTGGGGAGGCTGAGGCAGGAGAATTGCTTGAACCCAGGAGGCAGAGTTTGCAGTGAGCTGAGACAGCACCACTGCACTATAACCTGGGCAACAGAGTGACACTCTATCTCGAAAATAATAATAATAAATTCCTTCAAGGAAGCAAAAACAAGTTTGAAATCAATGGTCATCTCTACATTTTTTTTTAACATTATGAAAATAACAGCCAGGCTCATATAAATTGCTACAACCCCCAAAAAAGTATGCTGGACACCATACCTTTGCAGTCCTGAAAGAATAAAACTACAGAAGTTAAAACTTCCCCCCACTGCCAGTTAAAATATCTGCAAAACTAAGAGACCACAATCAAGTTCTTCTTTTTTTTTTTTTTGAGGTAGAGTCTCGCTCCATCACCACCCAGTCTGGAGTGCAGTGGCACGATCTCGGCTCCCTGTCTCAGCCTCTTGAGTAGCTGAGATTACAGGCATGCACCACTACTCCTGGCCAATTTTTGTATTTTCAGTACAGACAGGGTTTCACCATGTTGGCCAAGCTGGTCTCGAACTCCTGGAGTCAAGTGACCCACCTGCCCCAGTACCCCCGATGTGCTGGATTTACAGGTGTGAGCCACCATGCCTGGCCACAATCAAGTTCTTAAAGTAGAATTGGTGTAACACTTAAAAACAGACATCACTCCTTTCATTGTCTGAATGTACATTTCTGCGTTTAATTTCTATGGTACAGTCTATCTGCTCAGAATGCTAGCTGACTACAAGTTCCAATAGGAATTATGGTTACAATTGGCTCTACCACTAGGAAAGGCACTTCGTCTGTATGACTATAGAAATTGTATTCTACCACACATGGACACAGGGAGAGGGGCATCATACACTGAGGTCAGCTGGCAGGCTAGGGGAGGGACAGGAGGGTGTGGGGAGGGATACCGTGGGGAGAAATGCCAGATATAGATAATGGCGGAATGGAGGCAGCAAACCACCTTGCCATGTATGTACCTAAGCAACAACCCTGTGTGATCTGCACCTCTACCCCAGAACCTGAAGTACAATAAAAAATAAAAATAAAAAAAGAAATTGTGTTCTATCACAATACTGAATGCACAGATACTTGCCCACTTACAAGAATCAACACTGGGGCCAACGTGCTAGCTCACACCTGTAATCCCAGCACTTTGGGAGGTCGAGGCAGGCAGATTGGCTGAGGTCAGAAGTTCAAGACCAGCCTGGCCAACAAGGAGGAACCCTGTCTCTACTAAAAATACAAAAATTAGCTGGGTGTGGTGGCACATACCTGTAATCCCAGCTATTCAGAAGGCTGAGGCAGGAGAATTACTTGAACCTGGGAGGCAGAGGTTGCAGCAAGCTTTAAACCCTGTCTCTACTAAAAATACAAAAATTAGCCAGACATGGTGGTTACCCAGGCGTGGTGGTACATGCCTGTAATCCCAGCTACTCGAGAGGCTGAGGCAGGAGAATCACTTGAACCCGGAAGGTGGAGGTTGAAGTGAGCCAAGATCGGGCCACTGAACTCTAGCCTGGGCAACAGTGAATCTCCGTCTCAAAAAATAAAATAAGGAAGAAAACAAACACAATTTTAAAAAATAGGCAAAAGTATAACAGATACTTTCCTTACAAAGATGGCAAACAGGTACACAGAAAGATGCTGCTCAACACACCATCATCCATTAGGGAAATGCAAATTAAAACCTTAATGCGATACTTCTACATGCCTATTAGGATGGTTAACATAATACCAATTGTTGGAGAGGGTGTGGAGGAACTGGTACTCTCACTACTAATAATGAGAATGTAAAATGGTACAAACACATTGGAAAACAGTGTGGCAGTTTCTTAAGAAGTTAAAATAGGTTGGGCACAGTGGCTCACACCTATAATCCCAGCACTTTAGGTGACCAGGGTGGGTGGATCACTTAAAGCCAGGAGTTTGAGAACAGCCTAGACAACATGGTGAAACCCCATCTCTACCGAAAATACAAAAATTAACTGGGCATGGTGGCACATGCCTNAAAAAAAAAAAAAAAGAGTCAACATTGGCTAGGTGAAGTGGCTCACATGTATAGTCCCAGCACTTTGGGAGGGTGAGGCAGGAGGATCACCTGAACCTAGAAATTTGAGACCAGCCTGGGCAACATAGCAAGATCCCATCTCTTAAAAAAAAAAACAGCTGGGCATGGTGGCAGACACCTATACTCCCAGCTACTTGGGAGGCTGAGGTAAAATGATCACTGGAGCCCAGGAGTTCCAGGATACAGTGAGCTAGGACCACACCACTGCACTATAGCCTGTGCCACAGAGTGAGACCTTATCTCAAAAAAAAAAAAAAAAAAAAAAAAATCAACACTAGTCTATATTAGGTAGAGATGACTAGCAATGTTTAATATTTTAATGAATGTACCTGTTGGTCTCACTGTGGTACTCCTAGGTACAATGTATAGCAGTAACTTTTTACTAGGGTTGTAGAAAGCTGAAGTATATGAAAGCATAAAGTCACTATCTGCATAGCAGAATATGCCTTTTGAAAAAAATCTAAACCGTTAGTTTTCACAATCCTTGAAAAATCCTGATGATGATCAAATTAGCATTTTAAAGTATGTCTATCAGGAGGTTCTTTTAGTTTAAAAAGAAATTTTCCCACTCTTCCAAATCTAGTGAAAAGAATGATTTTAAAAGTATATATGGAAAAAAAGGTATACATAGTATACATATATGTAATACAGGTAGGTTTTAAAATTGCTATATAATGGCTGGGAGCAGTGGCTCATGCCTGTAATCCCAACATTTGGAAAGGCCAAGACATGAGGATCACTTGAGCCCAGGAGTTCAAGACCAGCCTGGAGAACATAGTGAAACCCCATCTCTATAAAAAAAAATTCAAAATTTAGCTGGGCATGGTGGCATTTGCCTGTAGTCCAGCTACTCAGGAGGCTAAGGTGTGAGAATTTCTTAAGCCCGTGAGTTCAAGGCTGCAGTGAACTATAATCATGCCACTGTACTCCAGTGAGGGTGACAGAGCAAGACCCTGTGTCTAGGGAAAAAAAATAAAACAGCTGCGTAAAAATAAACAAAAGCTATATTCAAAATAAACTACTATAATTAAAAGTACTGCTTTTAAAAATAAGTATATTTGTATAAAAATGTTTAATATATTTTATTTCCTTTATCCAAAACTGAAAGTGATATTTTAAAAAATTATCTTTAACTGATATGTTCTACCTCAAATTTTTTACTTAATATGGTCTTCCTCTTTTCATGTTTCTTTCCTTTGTTTAAATTGAAGACACATCTAGTGTTAGAAAACAAAACAAAGGATGATTTCTGTAATAAGAAGAGGAAAGTTGAGTATTTTTCAGATTTAGAAATTCAAATTAACTATGTCCGATGAAAATTCAGGATGTGGGTAGCTACAATTCGTAGAAAACTACAAAGCTGTAAGTATGCTATTCAATAAAGTCCAGGTTAAGAATTTTTTTTTTGTTTTGAGACGGA